GAAAGCTTGGATGGCTGTGGAAAAGAAGGGAAACGGGGCAGAAAAGCTGGGATGGCTGTGGAAAAGAAGGGAAACGGGGCACAAAAGCTTGGATGGTTGTGGAAGAGAAGGGAAACGGGGCAGGAAAGCTGGGATGGCTGTGGAAAAGAAGGGATGAGATCTGGGTTTGGTGCCTGGAAAGGCCTGTGGGATAATGCTGCTCTTATTGTCTTCCTGAAGCCAGAAGGAAGCATGTGGGGAACACAGAGCCAGGAATTTACAGCTCATTTAATTAAAAATCAGAAAGGTTTGTAGTATTTTGATAAGTTATTAGTTTAGTTGCAATAACACTAACACTCACAGTCCAAATTAAAGAAGATAAGCCTCATTAATAGTAATAACCTTAACACTAGTGCCCAGGAAGGCTGTGAGGTGCTTTCCCCATGTCTCTGGGGAGATGCTCGTGTTCCCAGTGTCCCTCTGGGCAGCACCAAGGCCGATTCCATCTTCCTGAGCTGTGGGACTGGGGAGGGAATGAGGAGTGTTTCAGCAAATCCTCAGCATCTTGAGGTCTTCTTGTGACAGAAGTTTCCTTTCTAAGTCTAGTGTCCAGTGCTTCAGGTTTTAGCTTTTATATTTTTCACATTCTGTGCTGCTTAAGCGTGTAGTTAGGAGCTTCACAGAGCAGGGAGACAAAACAATTCCTGCTCCAGCTGGGCACCAAGGACAAATGATCCAAACCTCAGCCCAGGAGCACAAACACCGTGGGCTGGAGAGAGAAAAACAAGCAGGGTGGGACTGATGGGCTGGAGCTGGAATGGGACAATGAACTCCAAGGTGCCAATGGAGCAGAACTGATCCCAGGGAGAGCCCCGGGAGCGCTCGTGCATTTTGGGGCCAGTTTGGTTCATCTTGGGTTCATTTTGGGGCCATTTGGGTTCATTTGGGTGCAGCCCTGGCTGGGCTCTGGTGCTGCCCAAGGTGGATCCATGGAGGAGATCCTTTAATAAATCCCTGATTTATTCTTTAGCTCTGCCCAGTCTCTGCTCCAGCTCAGCCTCCACAAGGCATTTATGGCCACTGGGGCTGTTGAAGATGCTCTGTCCCCACCATGAACTCCCTTCTCCCTGGCCCCCAGAGCCCATCCAGGCACTTAGAGAAAATGAGCATTTTTGCTTCTTTTTTTCCTGCTATGGTCAGGATTAAATGTGTGAGATATATTTCTTATTTAGACTCAGCTGTTTATTAGTTCTTATCTATATTAGAGTCTCACAAGCTGTGAGTGTTGTAGTACTTCATTTTAATAAGCTAAAAATGAAGACATATCTCTCATTTTACAAGGCTTTTTAAGAATAAACTGTCTAATTAAGAAATGACACAAATTATTTCTTTTAACCCAATAATTAACTACTTGTTGCTTGTAATGAGGACATTTTTATCTAATTACACAATACTACCTAAACTTAGGAAGAAGGTAAGAAGAAGGACCAGCTTCTGCCCTAAAACTTCTATCTTGCTTTATATATATTACTGTGTTCTAAAACCCTAAACTCTGAAGTTTTCCACCATGTGATACTACACACTTCTATCCAAACTATACACTTATAATCTTACTTTTATCATTCAATTTTGGAAGCTTTTCCTATGGCCTTAGGTCAGATGCAGTGTTCTCTTGGGGGTCAGTGCCTGGCAGCACAGAAAATCTCAAATTCTCAGTAACCAGGGTTCCAACACCCAGGGCTGGGTGTTTTTTTGGGAAATGTCTGCCTGGAGCAACAGCCCTTGACCATGGGACACTTTTGGTCATGGGGACATTGAGCTGTCCTCAGTCACTGATCAGGACCCAGTTTGGGGCCTTTGACTATAAGTGCCAAAAATCCTGTTGATGGGGCAGAAATAGTTGGAAATTACTTGGATTGGTTCTTGTGGATTGTTAGAGCCATACAATAAATAATAATTGATTGCTCCCTAATTCCCAGGAGAACAGTGCATTTATATTTTTGTATTATTAAAAGCTGAGTGGTGCTCATAAGAAAGATGCTTCCAATGCCTCAAATTGACTGAATTATTTGAATTCCAGGTTTGAATCCTCATCCCATGCCATCAGCATGAGTGCCTACCTGAGGGAGCAGAGGAGGGAGCTGTACAGCAGGAGTGGGGAGCTGCAAGGTATGGAAAGAGATCCTTGATAATTGGATAATTCCCTTCTGCAGGAGCTGGAATATCCTGTCCAGCCCCTGGCAGGTATTGATCTCTGCCCTGAACCTCTCCAGGTTTTAAGCCCTCGTTTATTATGTGCTTGTGAAGGGTTTCTCTTTATTTTCTCAGCTGGAGGTTGAGGTCTTAAAAAAATATTTATAAAACAAAAGGTGAAATACAAACAACCTCACTTGGAACACTGAGTTTGTGTGTTGGAGCTACCTTGGATATTTATCTGCAATTTATTTCCTTACTGTGATACTTACCCTGCATTGCTTTGGGAGCTGAGCTCAAATTTGAAGCTGGATGGACTGAAGTGACCAGTTCTTTGTGTTTGCTACACTCGAGGAGCTGCAGAGTGTTTGCAGATGGTGAAATCTGGGAACTTGGGCTGCTTTTGCTGATTTATTTTGCCCATGGCAAGTGCTGTGTGTGCCCAGGAAGTGTTCCCTGCTCCAGGCATGGCATCATTTCCCTTGTTTTTCCTGAATTATCCAGTGGCTGGGCTTGGCAGCAGAATCAAGGGAATATCCTAAGACTGCCATGATCACGTACAGCAGGACTAAAATTGTTTTGTATCATCTCTTCCAGTTTCTTCCTGGGCTAATCATAACAGGAAGATAATTCACGTTCTTCAAATATTACAGTGATTACAGAATTTGGGGCAGAATTTCTCCTGGAAATCTTGTCCATGATAATTTTCAGCTGGCTTTTAATTGAGAATGTTTTATAATTTGCAAGAGAATTTTTGGATGCATTCATGTTCCCTTCCTCCTTTCATAACCTGTCCTCAGTGACAACTTAAACCCACAAGGGTGTGAGAAAAAGCCTCGAGAGGCAGAGATTGCTCTTGTGACAGCTTGATTCACTTGGGTGACTCCAGAGGTGATCTCAGCACTGATGATCAGGGTTCTGTGGTGATTTCTGAGTGTCTTGGTTTGAATAGACAGGTGTCTGTTAGGGAAGGTAGGAGCCTCCCCTGAAATGGAAATCTCTCTGAATTGTTATAATTTTGAAGTTAAGGGGCTCTCAGGCAAAGATACGGGAATAGGAATAACAGTTCTTTTCTCAGAAAATTAAAAATACAAATGCAATAGTACAAAAAAGAAAACAACCCAGTGCCAGGGTCAGCAATGCCCTGAGCCCCTGTGGGTCAGGGAGGTGGCTCAGCCCCATCCCAGGGGGGCTCAGCCCTCCTGCAGTGCCAGCTGTGCTTCTGCTGGAGCAGGATCCTGCACAAGGGGGGAGTTTTCCTCTGGAGCTCCAGGGCTGGGGGAGATGGGCCTGGGCTCCTCTGGGAAT